GAACGGGATCATGGGCAGCAGCCCCGGGGCACCGCGCCCTTCCTTTCTAATCCCCTTTCCCTCCTCTCTATTGTCTTCCCTTTTGTTTTCTTTGACCATTTTTCTTTTCCTTCTCTCTTTCCCCCTTTTCTTTTTGCCCTTCTTTTCCCGCTTTCCTTTTCTCTTCCCCCCCCGCCCCGCTTTTTCTTCTCTTTCCCCCCTTTTCCTTTTGCTTCTCGCTCCTTGCCATTATTTTCTCTTACTTTCTCTTTTCCTTTCCCTTTTGAAGCACGACCCCGTGCCCCCATGAATCCAGCAGCCCACGCAATTCCTCAGAAGCCAAGAACAAGCAGCTGGAGATGCAGACACATCTGGAACAGAGGTTGCAGTTCCGCACTGGAAGCTCCATCCCTTGACTTTGATGGAATCCCATTGCCTCGAGGCCTTGCACAGTGGAGACACTGATTCCTGGCACATGGAAGTGAAGTTTTCCATGATTTTTTAAAGCTGGATAATGGAATAATTTCTGCCTAAGCTCCCTTCCTTACTACAAATGTGTGGCTTTACCTGCTGCTTTGATTTAATATTTGGAGCAATATAATAAACTCCACCAAAAACTCACTTGAGTCTTTAGTTATTGATGCTTTAGTGTGTAAATCCACTTAAAGGAAAGAAAACCAGCCAAAAATATTTAAAAAAAAAGAGGTGGATAATGCTCCTGGAGAACTGCCACAGCACTCTCTGCTAGTTCCTGATGCAGAGAATGGCCTGGGGAAATTCCAAATTCCAGCTATGGTACCTAATTTAAGAATGATTTGGATGCTATCTTCCTAATTAAAATACAATAAATTCTTGTGAAAAGCCAGGACATAGAAAAGTAGCACTAGAAAAGGCAAGGAAAAAAAATCATATTGTGAAAAGCCTTCCCAAGTATTTAACGTAATTATTTCAATATTTTGAATTTAATTTAGTATTGAATTTTCAAACACCACTTTAAATAGAGCAGCCCATAATCCCCATTTGAAACAGGAAGAGTGATAAATCCAATCTTTATTAAACTTCCACTTTTCAAACAGACACAAACACAAAAAATATATAAACACTAAAATACAGGAAAACATTTTAAAATTCAACATATTTTACAGGGTACAAAGATTTGCAGCTGCAGAACTGAGAGCTGAGCCAGCGCTGGTGCTTGGGCTCAGTAACACAGAGTGAGATCAGTTCCCACAGCAAGACCCACATAATACACAAAATTATACACAAAACCAAGCTAGAGCTCACAGATACTCCCAAGTTTAAGGAGTTCAGTCTTCTCACTAAAATTCCATGGCATTCCAAACTGGGACAGTGCCCCAGCACCCAGAGATTGTGCTGGACTAAGGCAAGGAATAAAGAACTGACTTCTGCCAGGGAATCAGTGATGGCTCTGAGGCTGTTGCATCCCAAAGTCTGTGGGCAAGCACAGGGATTTTTAGCCTTAATTCCAAAAATATTTCTGACTTTGGTTTCTGGGGTGAATTGCTACAGGTTGACTGGTTAATTAATCAGATGCAGGGATAGTGTCTGGCCTGGGAGGGGTGCCAGGCAATGGATAAACACCAGATGTGGTGGGATCTGTTAAATTGTACGTGGTAGTGGAATAATGACAGCAGAATTAAACTCCAGTTGTAATAATTTAGAGAATGCTCATCATTGCTTTTTCCAAGTGCTCTGTAAATGACAAAATTAATGAAGTATGGCAGAAGAATATCCATGCTTGGAATGGCTATCCAATCATGACAGTCTGTGCCAGGAATGACCACCAGTGACTGGCAGAAGATAAAAACCACCTTGAACTTAGCAGGGATCTAGGAATTTCCTTCTTCTCCTCTTTAGACACCCCTGCCCTTGTAAAACCTGTGGCCTACACCAAGGGCTCTACTTGGTCTAAGCCACAAGGACACCAAATAGGCAGGAATTCCAGAGCTGAGTGGGTGTCAGCATTCCCATTCCAGGGAGACACAGCTGGAATTCTCATAAGAGCAAACTCACAGAGCACCCATTCTGACTGCTTCAGTCCTGCCTGTGGCTGCAGCACATCATCTGGGAGCCTGGAGCAGATTCTGATGGATGGAGGTGACTGCTCTCTGCAGATAGTGGTGGCCAGCTGGAACTCTGGAGAGAACAGCAGCAACTTCCTTCTCCCTGGGGAAGATAAAATTATCACACATGTTGGAGAGGATCCTGAGGGCTCAATCCCAGCTGGATCCAGCTTTGGGATGGAGTCACAGCTCTGCCAGCTCACCCGATATCCCCAATGTGGGTGTGGACCCTGAAGGGAGGCACAGCAGCTGGGTAATCATGAGAGACAGCCAGAGTCAACTCAAACTTGGCAAAAGCCACTGAAGAGGAGAACAGAAGCTTCACCCTGTGGAAATAAACACAAAGATCCATGCAAAACAGTCACATGGGCTGCTTCCACCTTGGAATTAGTGCCAGGAGCAGAAATAAGTGATAAGTGATGCAATAATAAGTGATGTCACTGATGGAACAAGCACAGTAACTTCTAAAGGGTTCTAGCACAGACAGGAACTTCAGGAACAAGATAAAAAACTTTTCACACTTTATCAACACTTCAGAATGTAAACCCCCAACTTCCTCCACAGGAAAAGTTAATGCACACATAATTCACAGAACTATCCAGAAATTAGGGGAGAACAGAGACTAAAAACGTGTTTTCTAGTTAACATGAAACATTCCCAGGCAGTTAAGGTTTTCTAATGCTTGAAGTTGGACTGATTTACCTCCAGCTCTATGGGGGTTTTTGTGCTCTTGCAAAGGAAGCTACAAAATTAGAATAACCTCTGAAACAGCACCAAGGTGGGCAGAGCAAGTTTATAATTGGGCAGCTCTTAATTAAAGTTATGGATCAGTGATGGAAGGATGAGGTGAAATTGTATTTGTGTGTACCACTGGGGCATGCCACAAAACTGGGAAGTAGCAAGGGAAAATGGAAAGTAAAGAAAGTAAACTTCAGTTTCAGTGCATCCCTCCTTCCATGACTGATTCTGCTTGGCTGAGGCAAACACAAGATTAAAGGAAACAAAGCCCTCAGCTACAGGTAAACTCTTGGCTCTGCTTCCTTTGCACTGCTACAGTTTGGCCTCAACATTTAAGAAAGGCAAGTCAAGCAGGAAAACAGCAAGGAAGGAGAGGCTGTCTGATAGTCCTAAAATCAATAAATCCATGAACAGCCTAATTTCCATGCACTGGGACACTACAGTGCAATTGTATGAAGATAAATTAAATTGTTCTTAAAAACAGCAGCATAAAATGTCACTTTTAAGAAAACCAAATGGAAACTATTTCAGTGTTTTGCTTCTGATTATCTAGAAACTCCCTCTTAAGGCTGCTGTGAACTCCATCTTATTGAACCCACACAAAGATCATCAAAGTCCAGCTCCTGGCCCTGCACAGGACACCCCAACAATCCCATCACGATTTTCTGAATTTACTCACTCTGTGTCTTTGATATCTGTCTCCAGGAGCTGGAATTTTGCTCCCCACCTCTGCAGAAATTCCAACTCATCTCCCAAGACTCTGCAGCGATTCACCACCAAGGAGATGTCAAAGAGAGCCTGGGGGATAAATCAGAAAGCAACATCAGCACTCGGGGGTGACCATGTGATGCCTGAACACATCACTCATCCTAGAAAGCATAAAAAATAAACGTGGTTTAACTGCTATCTCAGTTTGGGTGGAAAAATGAAATTGTACAAGCATAACAAATGTACATTTTTTGCTTTAAATTTGTCCTTTCAGCTTTGCCAACAGCCACACAGCAACAAAAAAAGTTTGGCTGGGCAATTTAAACCTACATTCTTTAGGAGGCAAAATGACCTTCAGCTCAATTTTCTCTTTAAGGCAAAAAAATGTTTTTAAATAAACTTCAGCTTTTAGGACTCCTGCCTTCAGAGACAGATATTTCCCCTCACACCTCAGAATATTCCTGAAGCAGATTTTGGTTTG